GGGATAGATGGGGAGGGGAGCAAATTCCAGAGAGGGACAACTCAGCAGAAGGGAAACGGGGGTCACAGAGGGAAGGGAACTGCGGTGACACCATGGTGGGCAAGCATCCAAAGAGTCTAACTGTCCGCTCGTGACAGGAGGCGGTAGAGAACGTGACACGTGTGCGGTAGAATATTATCTGGAGACTCTGATGTGGCCTACAGACACAAGCGTAGAGCAGGCCAGCCTTGAACTTGTTCCGCGGACTCTGGCAGTTGTGGGCACACAATGTGCTTGTTCCGAGCAACCAGACCAGGTGGCTCCAACCACTGTAACTCCAGTTTCTGGGACCTCACTCTCCCTTCAGGCTTCCTCGGGTACCCAACACATGTGTGTATGCACATACACATTTAAAAATCTTTCAGAAAAAGATGGTGGGGGCTTGAGAATCGGCTCAGCCATTAGGACCACCTGTTGCTCTTGCAGAGGACCTGGATTCAGTCCCCAGCAGCAACACAGAGGCTCACAACCACCTATAACTCCAGTGCCAGGGGATCTGACACCCTCTTCTGGCCTCCTTGGGCACTGACTCATGTGATACACAAATAGATTCAGGCAAAGCACTCCTACACACAAACACACACCCCACACTAAATCTATAAAGATAAAATGATTGAAAACTCTTGAGGAGTAAAAGATAAGTTCCCTAGCAGTGAGATGAACTGAAACAAAATATCTAGGTCTAGGTGTGTTCAGAGTATGGGATTGAATACACTGTTTCTAACCACAAATCCACCATCATGCCCTTGAGGGTGATCCAGGCCCCCTACAGCAAACAGGCTCTTCTATTAGCTAGCCCATGCCCTTTCCGAAAGCCGACCTGCTTCCCAGTCCAAAGAAGACTTGAGAACAGGCTCTTGCTGGCCTCCAAAGAAAACTTGAGAGCAGGCTCTTGCTGGCCTCCAAAGAAAACTTGAGAGCAGGCTCTTGCTGGCCTATCTCCTAGCTTTGATCTGAAACAAATTATCCGGCCTCTCCTCACGCAGCCATCTTTGCATGTGGAGTTGAAGAGGCGCTGCCGGTGGCCTAGGATTTCCTAACCGGCAGCTCTTAGGATTTGGCTACCCTTGCCTTTGGAGGTCACCATTCCTCATTTTTCATGTGTGTTTGTTTTTACACCCTACCCAAAGCTTCCCCTATCTCCCCTCTTTCCAGTCCCCCACCCTGCCCCATCCATTCTTGCGCCACAGTTTCTCTTCAGATATAGGCAGGCCTCCCATGGATATCATGGTATGTCAAGCTGCAGGGAGACCAGGCACTCCATCCTCCACCAAGGCTGGATGAGGCAATCTGGCAAGAAGAATAGGTACCAAAAACAGGCAACACAGTCAGAGACACCCACAGCTTTCAGTGTTAGGAGTCCCACACAAAGATCCAGTTACACTATTATAACACATATGCAGAGCCTAGGTCAGTCCCATGCAGGCTTCCTGGTTGTTGGTTCTGTCTTGTGAACCCCTATAAGCCCAGGTTTTCTTGCGGTGCCCTTAATTTCACCAGGACCTACAATCCTTCCTCCCCCTCTTCCTCAGGATTCCCTAGTGTTTGGGTGTGGGACTCTGCATCTGTCTCCATCAGTTGCTAACTGAAGCCCCTCTGATAACAGTTGGACTAGGTACCAATCTATGAGTATAGCAGAGCATCATTAGGAAGCATTTCATTGCCCTTTTTTTTTTTGCCATTAGTGTTTGGATCTATCCTAGGTCTCTGGGGGGACCGCTCATTTTTACCACGGGAAAGTGGTGCTCACAAAGGAAAAGCGGGGTGCTTAGAGAAACCCCTACCCTGAGGCGAAGGTCACCAGGCTTTGTTCATGCTGTCTTCACGCTCAACTCCCAATGCCCTTAAAAAGGCATCCTCCCGCCAAGCAGTGGGAGCCCTTGCCTTTAATCCCAGAACTTGGAGGCAGGTGATCTCCAGGTTCGAGGCCAGCCTGGTCTACAAAGCGAGTTCCTGAACAGCCTGGGCTACACAGAGAAAACCTGTCTTGAACTCCACCCCTACCCAACAAATGGTACCCTTTCAATTTTGTGACTTAGGTAAGGGAGGCTGGGACCTACAATCTGTCCAGGCCATCCATCTGTAAGTGCCTGACTCTAGCCTTCCAGGTCCTAACCTTGGCCTCTGTCAGGCCTGGAGCCAACTCCTGAAGCTTCTACACCTGCCTTGCATACCAGGCTGGGACAAGGCACAGTGACTCCCCCTAGGGAACTTACAGCTCCTGTGGGGAACCCCTCCAAACTCTCACACTGCAGGGAAGGACTTGGCTGGCTACCATGACTAAGGCAAAGTTTGTTCTATAACCTTCTTTCAAGAGGTCTGTTCTCCCCCCTGAGTTGCCTCAATTAGGACAAGATGGGGTCTTCTGACTCCCTCGGGCTTTCCACCGTGACTCACAAGTCCCACAGTCCCACGGGGGACTGAGTGGGCCCACGTAGAGGGGCCAACTGAAATGAAAGAAAAACAGAAGTCATTTTCCCAGCGTGCCCTGTGGGAGGTGGGGGAGGTGCTGCTGGAGCCAGGCTAGGGGGCAGAGTTCTGTGACCCGACAAAGGCACAACTCCCTGACACTCCACTCTCAACCTCTGTAGACAGGATGGGAAGGCGGCTGTGGAGCAGGGTCACCAGTCAGCAGCTCCCTCGTTATCAGGACACCATGATGTCCACCAGGCTGCCTGCCTCTCCAAAGAACTAATACAAAGACCCTCAGGTTAAGGTGCTCCAGAGCGACACCTTGTCCAAGACAAATTGCCCTGGTTGGAACTGCTCCATTTTCTAGCTATGTAAATTCACATGGGGTGCCTTTTGTGTCTCAGTTTCCTCATCTGTAAAATGGAGCTGACAGAACTATCTAACTCATACTCTAATTATGAAGATTAAAGGAGATCCGGCATACCTGAAATGAGCCAATATTCACACATTAGCTGTCATCTAACCCTTGCTTTTTATTTGTTTTAGATTAAAAATGTTTTAAGAATAAAATTTTATTTGTGTGTGTGCATGTATGGGACCAACTTAGGTCTACTGGCAGGTGATAGGCGTCTCTACCCACTGAACCATCTGGCCAGCCCAATCTGGTCTGCAACCCCATCTGTAGCTGAAGATGATCTTGAACACCTGAACCTTCTGCCTTCACTGTCATCATTTGAATCCCATTTCTACTGGAAAGGTCACCATGATGTCCAAATAAGTGGGGGAACTGTGTGTTTAGCATTTATGAGGCCTGATTTGCTCTCCAGCCACACAAATAACTAACTAACAAGTGGTATAACAGTCTTCCCCAACTTAACAATTACCTGTCAGCAAGACTTCGGCAGGGTCTATGTCTGCCTGTCGCCTGTCCACTTAGGCAAACAGATGCTGTAGACCTGCACAGTTTTCATAACCTTTCAGCTCCTGGCCGCAACTCCCCCAGAAGAGGGGCAGAATCAGTGAGCAAAAGGGGCGTAAGTTGAGCATCGTCTCTGAGAACCATCTTTATAGTTCTTTTTTTTCTCCAAAATATGTGTCCCTAGGAAAGGAGGCCCAGTTCTTAGCCAGCTCATCCTCCACTGAGGCATGGGTCTGCCTGTCCTTGGTCACCTGCCTCAAGGTAACCTGAAGCCAACAGGGCCTTCCAGGGCCACTGCCATCCCACAGCGTCTCTGGGCAGGGTGGGGCAACCCGGAGAGACCCTGAGGCACCCATCACCACTTTGCAAACCCAGACAGGGAAGATGTTTGGGAGTAGAGTGTGAGGACTTTTTTTTCAGGTCTCCACCAGTCTGAGCCTGGCGCCTGCTACCCAACTAAGAACGTGGGCCTTTCCGTGCCCGGACTTCCCCCTCCCAACCCAAACACGCCACTGTCCCTACCCCCATCCTCCCTGTCCCCCAGGCACAAGCGGGATTCGGGGACGCCGAGTTTTGTTTACAATCTAATTTGTTCAGATAATTGCCTCGACTTTGCTCTGCGCTTGGCCCGCGTGGATCCAGCCTGAAGCCCCTTCTTCACTGGTTCTCACAGCACTTTATAGGAAATTCCCCTCTGCAGACCAAGGCAGCGCGTGCGCGGGGTTGGGAGAAGGACTGTTCACAAAGCCCAGAAAGAGCCTCTGCGGCCCCAGCCCCCACACAGTGGGGAGTCGGAAGGAGGCAAGGCAGGGCCCGCGCCGGACGCCGGCTCGGGACTGGGGGGGGGCTGACCACTCCCCGCGCCAGGCGCAGCCCGCCCGAAACCAGTGAACCGTGTGCCAGCGGGACTTGGCCGTACCTCCAGGCTCCTGGAAAAGGCCAGAGTTTATAAAGCGTCCCATAGGACGGGTCCCTAGCCCGCTGTGAACCTCTGCGGCCTATCTACTTTAGCAGATCTGTAGCCCCACGTCCCCATTTTTCCTTCCCCGAAGTTTGGTCCACGTGGTCTTCGGCTCGCCGCTGGCCGCCTCGCGGGGGGGAAAAGCGGCTGCACCTGCTTTAGGCGAATTATGGTAGCACTAGAAGTTAGTCTCCCCTCCCTCCGCCGCTCTCTCGTTCGCTCTCTCCTCCCCGTCGCTCGGCGCGCTCTCTCCTTCCCTCCACCCCTCCGGTCCCCCGCCCGGGGTGCCCCGCCCGCCCGCGCACCGCCCGCTCGCAGCCACTCGCAGCCGGGGCTCAGTCGCAGCCCCTCGGAGTCCGGAGCCGGCCGCCCCTGCGGGCCGGACAGTGCCACCGGCGGCCGGGACGGAGCCCCCCAGCACGCGATCAGGGCGCGGCGCAGGCGGCCGCGGCGCGGCGGGGAGGAGCCCGGGCCGGAACCAGGGCTGGGCCGGGGGCGGGGACGCCGGGGTCCCGGAGCCCCGGAGCCGGAGCGAGCTCAGGAGCGTCGCGGGTGCCCGGGGAAAGACGATCGGAAGCCGGAGAGGGCCGAGCCACCCTACAAAGTACGATGCCCCCCAGGGGCTGAGGCGCGCGGCGATCGGCACTGGAAAGATCGCCTCGGAGCGGCGCGGCGCGCAGGGGCAGTCCCGGCGGGTGGCGGCGGGCCCGGGCTGCGACCCGAGCGAGCCCCATGCCCCGTGCGGGCTGACGGGCCGGAGCCCGCACTGAGCGGCCGGGCCGGACAGGTAGGTGGCCGATCTAGGGACCCCGGGGACCTGGGTGGGGGCTGGGCTGACGACTCGTCGAACTCTCCGGCTCGCTCACTCTCTCGCCTGCTCCCTGGCTCACTTTGTGTTTGCAAACTGCCGGCCCGAGGCGCGCCGGGCGCCGGGAGGAGCCCGGCCCGGGGCCGGAGCACTTTGTTCCAGCCGGGGCCAGCCGTGGCTCCCTGACCCGGGTGAGCTAGGAAACCCTGTCCCCGGCCCGGGCCCCCAGCGGACTGGAGCTGTCCGGGGAACAGGTGGGGGCTGCGGCGCGGGGCTGGGGGGCAGCGGGAAGCCGGCCACGGGGGCGGTTTGGAGAGGCCACTGAGGCCCGCCCTGCCCCAAGAATCTGGGCTCCGCCCCCTCCTGGCTCCGCGGCTGGGAATGGGGTGTTAGGGGGCGCGACCCCCCCCCTCCCGGAGTGAGACAAAGAATACTCCCGGCCCGGACTTTCCTGAGCCGGGAAGGGAAGTGCTGAAGTGGGATGCCCCCAAGTCCAGCGTGCACGGGACTCCCCAGGACTAGCCGGAGGCAGAGGGACTGGAGGGGGGGAGGGCAGGAGCGGGGGGGGGAGACGACCAACAATCTCCAGCACCTCGTCGCCTTGGTCGCATCTCGGAAGTGCTGAGAGTAGTCACCCTTCTTTCCCCGCATCCCCTAATCAGATCTGTGATAGAGCGGAAAACTTCTTGGGGACTTGAGGGAGACTAGAAATGGCCCCTGTGATTTTTGTGTGCTGGAGCTGGTCGGTGGGGACTGACCTGGTGGCTGTCTCCCCCGTTGGGACAGAGCTCCTGGGGTAGTGACTGGAGGGAGGGCCCAGTGCCCTCAGAGGTGAGGCTGTCGGAGTGACCGAGCTGGACCCTCTTCCTCCAGTCCGAGGATCTGGTGACTCACAGCCCTGTCGTCTCCCCGACACCTCTCTGACCCGCGGCCACCCTCAGCGGTGCTCAAACCTTGCAATCCGCTTCTGCGTAAAACTTCTGCTTCTTGGGCTGCGCCGGAGCAGAACCCGGTGGCGCCCGAAGGTTGAATGCCCTTAGAGACCCGGGGCCGCGGCCACCTGTGTGAAGGAACGTGTGATTTCGTGGGACGCGGATTCAGAGGCAGAGGCCCTGACGGTCACAGATCGACCGCGTGAACGCCCGCATGTAGCACCCGCCGACTCCTTAGGTTGGGAGGACAAGGGTATGGGGAGTGTCCCTGCTCTCAGACAGTGTCCCGCTCCTTGGCACCCTGGGCCTCTTATGCCAACACCGCCGGGCGTGTTTCCACGTTCCCTTGCTTGGCACCTGGGGTTTCAGCTATGTGGAGACAAGCGCGTGCGGTGCGCCCTTGCACGGCTCTGCCCACCCGGTAGACCGTGCCGCTCCGAGCTGGGTGGGTTTGGGAACCAGAAGGAACAAACCCGAGTCCAAAGCCACCGTTTGGCGGTTCCAGAGCAGTTCGAAAAGAGTTTTGGCTAATGCGGGATTTTTACCTTGAACTTAAAGCGTCTTTTGCCTGGATTGGCAGTCGACGGCTTGGGTCTGGAATTCAGGGTCGGAAGAGCGCTGCGTCCGTCCGCGACAGTCGCTGTGGTTTGCCCGAGCGAGCGTCCCATCTCCCACGAAGAAAGGAGCAGCGGGTGGTCCACGCTGTTCCACCGCTTCCTGGCTTCGCCCCCGCCCCCGCGAACCTCAGTGGGTCGACGCCTCGGCCTAGGTACCCTGCGGCACCGGCATTTTAAGCCCCTGGTTGAGATCAGCCGAGGAGCCAGGGGGAGGCTCCTCAAGGGGAACGGTCGGCCTCAGACGACCTCTGCCCGCCCCCGCGGAAAACCGCTGTGGGGAAGTCTGCAGACTTTTCTTCTTTTTCTTAAACTTGAGAAACTTTTACCTTGCCAGGGTGATTCAGGGACTGTCCTCCGGAGGTTGGAGGGGCACTTGGATGGCTTGCTGGCTCTGAGGTACCCTTAGAACAGCGAGTGTGAAAAACGGAGTGGGCCGCCACTCTGGTCGGTTGGGCAAGGTAGCCTGGCTTGCCTGGGACCCCTTCTCCCCACTTGCTTCAGACCCGGTGATGCCTGAACCTCAGCTTGCAGGGACCCTTTAAGTGTCCAGTTGTGTTTTGTTGTTTTTCTTTTGTTTTCTGGGAGGGCTGGGGAGACTTTATATTACTCTTTATATTACTCATACTATACCCAAATGCCGCAGCCTCTGGGATGCCAGGATTACAGGTGTGTGTGTGTGTGTGTGTGTGTGTGTGTGTGTGTGTGTCTCTGTGTGTGAGTGTGAGTGTGTGTGCACGCGCCTCATACTAAGTCCTTCTCCAGCAGCCTCTGGGATGCTGGGATTACAGGTGTGTGTGTGTGTGTGTGTGTGTGTGTGTGTGTGTTCCACACACACCTCGCCAAGCTCCTGCTACATTGGAGGAGACCCTGGTTACAGACTGATTTGAGGCTAAGGCTGGGTTGAAACTGAGGAAACTCTGAGCACTGGGGAGCACTCGCTGGGGGACCCGCCTCTGTTCCTTCCTAGATATCCCCTCCCCTTTCCTCTATCTTAGGCCAAAAACTTCCTTTCTGACTGTCGGGTAGGTTGGTCCTTTCTTGCTAGGAATGTACATATCCTGCCGGGCCCTGACTCCAAACACACCTTTTCCTAGCAGGGGAGGGCCCCGGGAGGATTGGAAGAGGGTGGCTTTCTTTGATCTGGTAATTTCCTCAGCTTTTGCTGAGCCCCTGCCTTGCCTGGGCAGATCCCAGGCTGGGTACTAGGGTACCCTTGTGCTTCTTCTGGAACCTGCTCTGGAACCTGTGGTGGGGAGGTGGGGTGGCATGGGAGGGGTTTGGTTTCAGAGGACTGCGTGAGGGAGGGAAGGGTCATCTCCCCATGAAGCCTTCTTTCCTTACCTGCATTTTAACCCTTCGATGCCTGTGGTACTTTCAGAAGGTTTCCCCTCTAGATGCAATGTGCTGAAACCCAAGCCTTTATTCCTAACTTCCTTCCATCCTAGGGGCTTTTTTCTGCCCCCATCCCCTTTCCCATCCTCTCCCAGTTTCCCCAGGCCCAAGGCAGCCATGGCCTATTTTTGCCAGGGTTCTGTGACTCCACTGGCTGATAATAGCTTCCTCTGAGGTGGTTCTGGAGCCCTAGAACCCAAGGCACCTCCCCTAGGGTATACGTGTGTCAGAGTGAAAAGGGCTTTGGAGCTTGGTACTTGAGAGAGGACTCTAGGGAACTTAATTAAGCTGCTGGAACCCCAATTTTCTTAGTTGTAAAGTAGGTCAACATGCCCAGAGTAAAACAGCAGCTTGGGAGTTGAATCCAAGGTAAAGTTTCACACCCCAGCAAGTGTCTGACCATCAGAGTGCCATCCAATGATGGCACTCTCCGTTTTCTCTTCTTTAACTAGTTTACCAGCGCTGCCAGGATGGTTATTGGGCCAAATACTGGAAATATTGGAGTATAAACCTTCATTTTTATAGGTTGGAAAATGAAGCCAGGGAGAAGTGGCAACTTATGAGATTTTTGCGGCTGCCCAGGTGCAGAGCTGAGACTAAATTGCTGGGCTCCAGAATAACGAGGGGCTAGAGCCTCTGCTTTGGGCAAGGGAGAAGAGCAGGAATAGAGGGCTGACCCCTTCGCCAGCCTCCTCTCTCCCTAGCTTGTCCGAGTGCTTGTCCTGCTTGTCTTTCGTAGGGGTCTGCATGCCTGCCTGCACCTACCCTGGCTTGTCCCCTGGACCTTCTTAGGGTGTTATAGAGACAAATACAAATGCAATAGAATTCTCCAGAAGACTGTGGAGGAAAATATGACTGGAAAGCTAGCATCTCCTCTCTTCAAAGGGGAAGATTCCTAGTACTTGGGAATGGAGCCTCCTGTCCATATAGGAACAGGCAGAGAGCCTCAGATTTGAGACCTACCACTGAACGGTCATCTCAAAGAGGCAAGAACCAGACCTACACTGGATGATCCTCTCGAGGCAAGAGCAGGGAGGCTGAAGTTGTTGTCCATTCTTCCCATCACCATCTGGAATTCTGTATGGAAATGGACACTCTTCCTTACTATTGGTTGCACCAAGCCACCGGTCTCGTTGGGAACCCTGCTGCCTTTTACCTCTGACTTTGTACATGTTCTGGGCTCTCAGAGGGCCTGGAACACACTGATGGGATAGCAAACAGAGCACCCCACAGAAAGGGTACCTTCTGCATAGAATCAGTCACAGGGTGACATAGAACCACAGGGTGACATGGGATCACAGGGTGACATAGAACCACAGGGTGACATGGAATCACAGGGTGACATGGAATCACAGGGTGACATAGAACCACAGGGTGACATGGAATCACAGGGTGACATAGAACCACAGGGTGACATGGGATCACAGGGTGACATGGAATCACAGGGTGACATAGAACCACAGGGTGACATGGGATCACAGGGTGACATAGAATCACAGGGTGACATAGAACCACAGGGTGACATGGGATCACAGGGTGACATAGAATCACAGGGTGACATGGGATCACAGGGTGACATGGAATCACAGGGTGACATAGAACCACAGGGTGACATGGGATCACAGGGTGACATGGAATCACAGGGTGACATAGAACCACAGGGTGACATGGGATCACAGGGTGACATAGAATCACAGGGTGACATAGAATCACAGAGTGACATAGAATCACAGAGTGACATGGGATCACAGGGTGACATAGAACCACAGGGTGACATGGGATCACAGGGTGACATAGAACCACAGGGTGACATGGAATCACAGGGTGACATGGAATCACAGGGAGACATAGAACCACAGAGTGACATAGAACCACAGGGTGACATGGAATCACAGGGTGACATAGAATCACAGGGTGACATGGAATCACAGGGTGACATGGGATCACAGGGTGACATAGAATCACAGGGTGACATGGGATCACAGGGTGACATAGAACCACAGGGTGACATAGGATCACAGGGTGACATGGGATCACA